CTTCGTTGCAAAGCCAGAATACGTTGGCAACAGCGAATCACCAACGACGAGGTTCGCCGAAGAATCTTCACCGCAGACAATCTCAGTAGTCCTCTGATTGCCGCCATCTCCNGATGCCGGCTCAACGATTGCCCCATCGTGTTCTGTTTGCGCAAGCAGACATAAACTGGGAGCGGCGACACGATGGGCAGCGATTAAACTGGGCCCGAACAATGAAGGCGCTAACTTCAAAACTGGCAGTGGTAGAGCGCTCTAGACTCCCAGGTTGGGGGCCCAAAGACAGAGAACATCTATGGCTTGATACGCTTGCAGACATGGCTGATAACCGACGTCAATGGCGCACCTGTTGCGAGACTCTTATTCGTTGATTTACATTTTAACCGTTTTCACATCTCTTTCTTCATACGTTGTGGCACATCCGCCAATTCTATGTAATTTACTACGTGTTATATATATATATATATATATAACCGTGAATAAGGTGGGCCTCGGTCTACTGAATAAGCGGTCGCGGACGATCAGCGGCAGCGCTCGAGGATGTGGTGGGTTTACTCCTGGCAAAGGTTTTCTGTACAAAACACCACGTATATCTGCGGACAGCCTTGTGACGTGGCGAGTGNGCCACTAAATATGGCCATTGCTCCTTGTTGAAATCTGTCGCTCGACAAGGTTTTCCAGAATAGGCGAATGAACCGAAGACTGACCACCGGATCATCTGGAACATTACTGCTGCCTTGCAGTCCGCGCTTGGTTGCGCAAAGGCTAGAGTGCATCCTCGAATCATGCGTACTCTGGACCGGGCGACCGAGTAGTACAATAGCCCGCAACGCACACAACCATAAACCATGAATCTTACTCTTACGACTATGTATTCTGACGCTTCTCCAAAATGCACAAAACATTCTACACCGTACACACCCTCTCATCCTCCCAGCCTCCCAGCTCATCTCTACATCCCCAACACTCCTCCATCTCTCTCGGGTTTTTCAGACGATCGTACTAACAGTAGTGCCTCGGGCGGAAGTTCTGCCGCTGTTCACTTTTGTCCTACCTCGACTAGCATCCAAGTCTCATCGTATCCTCCACCAGCTGAAGCCCTTCCTCGCCCTCGATGTCCCTTCAAACTAGCCACGTTTAATGTGCGTACTCTGATGCGTGTATGACAACAGGCGTGTTTAGCTCGTCCGCTCGAAACCCTAACCATCGATGTGCGTTGCATCCAAGAAACTCGCATTCAAGCAAACGCGACTCGTAACGAGACGTGAACTTAACGCAAGCCTACGCAGAGACCGCGAGATCTGGAGGTCTCAACGCGCATCAGAGGTGGAACTTGCTGCCACCATGGGTAATTCCCGTAAGCTGTTCCATCTCATCCGGGTCACCGGTAGGAAAACCTTAGGTGTGAGGGAAACGATCTGCGAAGCTGACGGTTCGCCCATTCATAATCAACAGCGACACCTTGAACGCTGGGTGGAGCACTTCGAAGCACAATTTAGCTGGCCACCTGCGCCAGCTTCTCACATAGCTATTCCGGCACACGTCCCATGGTCTGTTTCAACAGACCCACCTTCCGAGGCGGAAATCCGTAAGGAAATCCAAGCCTTGGGACGTCACAAAGCGCCGGGCTCCGATGGCCTTCCCCCTGCTCTATTTAANCCTCCTTTCAAAAAGGGCCCGCGCAATAACTGCGCCAATCATAGGGGAATAAGCCTGATCCCGATAGGGTCAAGGCTGTTGGCGTCCGTCATTCTCCGCCGGTTGCACACTACGCGTGAGGAGCAGACCCGCGAGGAGCAGGCTGGGTTTCGTGCC